TTTTAAGAATTTATTGACATATTTGTGAACAGGTTTTATCAACACATTCTGGCACAACCGGCCCTTTAAGAGCCTTCATGATCTTGATTTGGCCCAAAACAAAAATGAGTTTTACATGCCTGAATTAAAAGAATGAAGGTTTTCTCATTTTACTTAGAATGAGAAAAAAAATTAGAAATTGGAAAGTTATTCTGAGGTTTGTATTTATGAAAATCCACTCCGACTGGATACTGACCAGTTTTGCGTTTCGCAACTGTCGACGTGGAGATGGAACTGGGAGCACTGGGCGACGCCGGGGTTTCCAGGGTTACGGGTGTGGATGGGGCCAGCGCTGGAGACAACGGTGTGGGAACGGCCTTGAACGCATCATCCGTCTGAAAAACAAACAGAAGCATCAGTCATTGTTGCCATCAGTAAGGGATGGAAAACACAAAGTTTTTCTTTGAAACACTGATCAGTTTGGGTTTAAGATATTTAAATAAATAGACATTTTCCAATCATAAAATAAAAGCATAGGATGCATGATGAGAGGAGACGACTGAGGGAAGATTTAAGGCTTTAAACAGAGAAGCCAACAGCTAACAGAGAAAATAAAAAACACAACACACATCCAGAGAATCCAGAGCAGACCAGATTCAGCTCCAGAGTAAATGTTTGGTTTCATTCGAATCAAATCTTATTCATCTTTTTTTTTTAAAAGCACTCAGTCATTTTAAATCAGCCTCTAAATACATGCTGCTTGTAGTCCTAATGAATTAAGCATCACAAGCAATTGCTGGAACATTCATCTATAAAACAACAACTTCTTTTTTTAAATCCTCGACATCGAGATTTTTGCGATTAAATAGCAAGAAAATAATGCAAGGATGAAAAGAAAACGACCCATTTCAGAAACTGGAAACTACCACTTAGCCTTTCCTGGACCTTAATAATCACTTGTTCCAGGGTTATTTCCACATAAAGCATCATTTCCACAAACACACCGTTGAAACTGGCAATAAGACGTGATGGCTATTTAGCTGCAGCTTGCAGGAAGAAAAAATGACCCTGACAGAGGCAACAGGAACAAAGTTGTTTATCTCGCATTAAAATCTAATTAGAATCTGATCCAGGAGAAATGGAAAGCTCCAAAGGTAGAGCTGATTTTAAAAAAGGGTTTTACAGAAAACATTTTTTGGGAAAATAGATGATTACAATTTGATTTGAAACCATTTAACTGAAAAAACAAATGGCAAAAATGTAAAAGTTTGAATAGCGTTTCATTGTTCTTTTTATAGATTGATAAACTGTTGGAATTTGATACAGTATGGAATCTTAAGGACTGAAATGTATTTATACTATTAAAAACAGGTTTAAAATTGCACCAAACTGCTGTACAAAAACAATAACATAACAAAGTAAATTGATGGAGGGAAAAATAATGATAATAAATCGGTAAAAAAAAGAAAAATCACAACAGAAAATGTCAACAAATATAAATATTTTAAACAATTATTGTCTATAACTGGTCTATAAATTCTAGTTCTAGTTCATTTTGTTTTGAGAGGAGCAATTAGACATCAGTGAACTGAACCAACAGATAAATCGCAGACAAAAGCAGTTATCAGGTGCCGACTGACATTATCTCTACTGGAGATGCTCTGCTGCCAACAGGACAGGCGAGGATGTATTATTACCACCTGGCCACACATAAACAAGCATAGAGGTGGGTCACACCGACTAACCTCGCATATCCATCACACTCTCTCCCGAGAGAAAATAATGAATAATTGCAGACACGTCACCCTGCAAAGTGAGCGGGGCGGTTAAGAGGAGTGTTTATCAAATAACAGGTGGTTGAACGGCAGCCAACGCTGATAATCAGCTCTTTTCAAACTGGAGCTTATTGACAGTGATGTGCAACAGTGATGTGCCCCATCACTAAATAAACAAAACGCCGATGATAAGCCTGTGGGAGCGCTTCATTACAGCAGCTCCAGTGGATTTATTACGGGTGTTTTTACCTTCTCGGTTTTAGCGGGAGCTCCTTTGTCGCCTTGTTCTTTTACAAGCGGCACCTCGTCTTCGTCGCTGTCCAAGATTTGCCGGCTGCGCTTGGCGACCTTCTTGATCGGCGAATCCGCTTCCTGGACGCCGTTCTGCACCTTCAAGGGGGTCTTTATGGGCCTGGAGACACGCAGAGACAAACTGGTGAGGAACATAAACGCAAACCACACGCGAAGAATATTAAAGAAAAGGAAGACGGGGGTCAGCAGGAAAATCAGAGTAATAAAAGAAAGCAGTCACAGCTGTGAGGAGGATCATTACATAAAGGCAAGTAAATTAAAATCAGTTTTTAAGACTTTCTTTAAAGATTACACACTACAGTGATAATGAACACTTCATCTTCAAAGCAGCTCCAGATTGAGCAGAAAAGTTTTCACAGCATCTTCTGATCATTAACGGTTCCAAAAAGTAATTCACACATCTACACAGAACTGTTATTCCACCAAAACCTCATATGTTCCTCATGTTGATCAGCTTCTGAGTGTCAGTAAATAAGCTCACACTCAGGCAGCTTCATTCCCGTTAAGACAGAGCTTAATGGGGATGAAACATTAGCATTCCCAGTCAGCCAAAATATATCAAAAATAGTTTGATCACCCGGGGAGAGCGGTAAGGGACGAAGGTTGTATCACAATATTTTGTGGTACTGTTGTAATAATGATAAATATGATGATGAGAGCTATTTATTACTTCTTTTTTTTAGTGTGCCACAGCAATTATAGCCCCACAAACACAAATACTGCTCTTGAGAAATATTCCCATTTGGAACACACTTCATTCACATAAAGAAGTGTGATTTGTGTCAGTAAACTGCACACAGTAACCGCATTTAATCATATTTTCAAATGCATCGGCATCTACTGGTACAGCAATTTTATGATGCAATCTGGTAAACCGTGGATTTTGAGTTTTGTGATGCAAAGCTTCATTTCTGCAGAAAGATGAAGGAAACAACTGGAGCATTATCTCGTCATGTGCGATTTAACTTGGAAAAACAACTTACTTGTTCACTGGTTCATCTGCAGTTTTCTTCTGGCTGTCTTTAACCTTGCTCCTGGGCTGAAAAAACGAGCTAGAACAGAAATATGAAAAGATACTTTAAATATAAGAGGCAACAACAAAAGTCCAGCGATATTATACTGTGTTTTAACCTCGCTAGCTTGCTTTGGGTGTATCCAAGCATCATAAAGCTTCTTCACAACCACCATTTGTTTTAGCAAATTGAGCTACTTCAGGCTGAAAAGCGTCCCAGAACATTGACTTTAAGCTGAGTGTCTCACTTTCATGAACATTTCCAGAGCTAAACCAGAGTTAGCCACGACTATGTTATGCTAGTGCTAGCGTGGAGCTATTGACACAAATACGCTGCTATTGGTCGCGGTAGGAACCGTTTTAACACACAATTTAACTGCAAAACCAATACAACACATAACACGTGCGTGTTTATTGCGTTAGACACACACAGTCTCCTTCAACGCAGTAAATTAAAACTTTAAACTGTTTACACAGTCGTTACTTACGCGATGCTCCGCTGCATGTTGTCTTTAAACACTTTCTTCGCTTAGAACTGAATTAAAAACGTAATTAAGTATAGCTCGGCTCCAACATGTATACGCGAAAACATACAACTCCCGCGCTACGGAGCGGCGCAATAACTGAATATTCGGCGCCAAAATGACACGTGAGACAAAGATCCTAAAACAAGACAGAGGAGTCACGTTGCCCTGAAAATAACGTTCAGTGAAAATAACGTTTTCGGTTTGAAAACAAGAAATAAAAAATAGCTGAAAAAAATTGGTAATAGTTTTTTTTTTAAATTATGACAGAACGTAGATGGGTGGCATGTTTAGCATTTTATACATTATTTTACGTTATACACTAAATCAGAAATAAAAATGCGAAACAGATAAATAAGTATCACGAAAAATAATTTATTTTTCACAGTGTTTTGTCGTTTACATTGAAATATTTAGAAGATGTTACAAACTGAACGTGCGAGTACAAAAAAATAAATACTGAACCCATTTTTGATATCCAAAAATATAATCAGAGTGAAACATCTTCCTGCTGAAATGGAGCTCTGCTCCATTCACCAGCCGGCGAGACGAGCGGCGCACCAACGAGTCGGTGGCGGTGTTTTTAGAAAAATAAATGACATTTGTAAATTTAAAAGAAATTACAAGCTTTGGTGTATTATTTATTTACATCTTTCAGGTTATTGATTTATTTTTTGGTTTAATGAGCACTAAGATACCAGGATCACATATTTACCTGAAAATGTTGTTTTACAATATTTTAAAATTGTGTATTCAAAAAAAAAAATCTACATTTATAAAAAGACAATTTATGATATATATAAGATACAATTTACCAGTGCTATTTCTACTTAAATTTCAAGTTCTGCTGAAGAAACTTGAAACAATAACTAAAACGAGTGAAGTTGTCTTCCAAATCTTAAAGCTGACTTAATTAACTTAAACTGCTGTGGCTTTATCTTCCTGATATAAGAGAAAAACTCTTCCAGCACTAAACGCTTTTCAGACTCCTCCCTCACTTTTCGGCGTCCCTTCTGTCCGGTTCATTCACCGCCTAACTGTAAAGGAGCAAGCCCTGTAAAAGGTCTTCTGCATCTCAAACGCTTTACTGCCCCCTGCTCTGTTGGAGTGGTAACTGCAAGAAGACGGATCTGGTCCTGATGCTGCAGAGTTGACAGACATGTGTGTCCCGCTTTGATGAAAACTCCTCAGTCCCTGTTTGAATGCATCATTTATGGCATACCACTCATATCATTTTCATGAAGCTCAAAGCAGGGGGATAAGAAGCAAGACAAACAACTAAATAATGTATGCTGCAAGTGCATTGATTTATTTACCAAAACACAAGTCCTATGTTGGTAATTGTTTACAAGTTTAGTTCCCCCGCTGCCCCATAAAAGATGCAGGGTTTATCAGTAGTTCTATTAAAAAGGAAGTCCAAACCCATAAATAGTTTACAAATGTGATTAATTTTAATGCACAGGTAATAAACTATGCCACAGTGACTCAAAACAGAGATAAAAATAATTAAACTGGAGAGATTTAATGAAAGAAAATCTTTCATTTGTATTCCCTGCCCTCAGTCTGCCTGTTTCCCCGCTCTGTCGTCGTCCTGCTGCTTCTCTCCTGACAGGTTCCAGCTTATGTGGGGATTGACGTCCCAGTCTGCGGAGCTTCTGTGCAGCCAGCCATTTGCATTTAGACCCGACTCCCTGGGCTCTCTCTGGCCGACCTCCGGGCGAGCGGCAGCAGGGATGATGGGGAAGGGGCCGCGGAGGGGCTGAGGCACCGGGAGCGGTTTAGGGAGCAGGAAGGTGTGAGGCAGAGGCTGAGCAGCTGTTGAGGAGGAACATCAATCATGTGAGTCTCCTGTGAGGCGAGCGACACACAATTTTAATCTGTCAACGTCACAATAACAAAACTGTTTTCCAAACCATGAAGCACTCAGCTAGCCTTAAAGCTGCAGTATGTAACTCTTAAAAAAAATATGGGTTTCCTTTTTTTACATATCTGTTGAAACTGCCACCATGTCATGGCAGTTTGTTATGAGACAGATAATCTGTGAAAAAATGGATCTATTCCACCTCCTCCCTGTGTTGTCCTCTGAAGAAATGCAGAGTTCCCGCCCAAAAACAACCAATCAGAGCCAGGAGGAGGGTCTCAGCAAGGGGGAGAGTGAAAGAGGATGAGCAGCCATATAAAATTGTGATTGACTATTTTTTCCACAGATTGTCTGTTATTAAAGTTACATGCAGAAACCTCTTCCAATCATAACTGGAAACAACCAATCAGAGCGATTGGGCGGGTCATACCCATGCTAACTAGCTAAGGCTAACTAGCTAAGGCTAACTAGCTAAGGCTAACAGCACCGAAAACAGCAGATAAACTGTTTTCCTGTTACAGTAAGCTGTTTTTCCACCATTATTATATTCAGCAGCGCGTTCATAAGGTTGATTGACACCGCTAAGACCCTCCTTCTGGCTCTGATTGGTTGCTTTTGATAGGAGCAGTGTATTTCTTCAGATGGCAATGGCATCTCATGGAGGAAGTGGAGGAGATCAATCTTTTCACAGATTATCTATCTGATAAAATAATGACAGTTTTACTCGCGACAATTTTAACAAATGTGTAAGAAACTTTTTTTTAGCTTTAAGTTTATTCAGAGACATAATTCTCCAAAGATTCGTCAGGAGATTCATCACATGCATGATTCATAAATATGAAAAAGAAGAATTTAGAATTATTGCACTTAACAAAAGCATGATGAGCAGTGGTAGTGATTTATTAGCATTCATGATTTTTTTGGTCTATTTTTTTTTTTTTTTTTTTATTTCCAAAAATTACCCACTTTGCCAAAAAACAACATTTAAAACCAAGTTTGGATTTAGTTTTGCATAACACTGCCAAGGAAAAGTTCGCATGAACTCACCAATAACTCAGGATCTATAAATATGCATTTGAGTAATTTTATTAATTTTGTATTCAAATGCATATTCAGTGAATTTCAATAATATAATAAGTACTTCTGCAAGATTTGGGGATTAACTGTGTGGTATTACACCTTTTCAACGTGTCCTTTAGACCAACAGATTTTTAGCTTTTGTTACATTTGTCATAAAAAATAAATGTTAATTAGGAAAACTATGATGAAAATCCAGCTGGTTCCAGATGTGTGAGCAAGAAAATCACATTTTTGGAGATGTGATGATTACCTCTGTCTATCAATGATCCTCCACAGAAAGGAAGGCCACCCTCAGAGGGGAGGAACGGGAGGCACAGAGGGGCCCTGTGGACCAGCTGATGGATGGATGGAGGGATGGATGGAGGGATGGATGGATGGAAGAAACCGACACCATCAACACAATGCAGTCTGCCAATATTCAGCCAAAACATCAGGAACACCACATATTTTAAACAGAAAGTATGAAACATGAAAAAGAGAAGTTTCTTGCAAAAAGAAAAGAAACTGAAACTGCAAAGTTTTTTATTATTAATAATATTATTATTATTTCTGGAAAATGTATTCTTCCTAATTTAATGCTAAATCATTTGATCAGCAGGGAAGCTAGGCTGTCAAAAATTCAGAAAATTTGGAGAACATCCTTCACCAAAAGAAGCGAAACCCCAAGGCCCATTTAAGATTGATTAAATTAAAGCAGAGAACTGTTCTGAGATTTGATTAATTGATTTTTTTTTAACGATTTAGTCACACCATCTTGCAGAATAAGGGGAAGACTCTCTGAACTTGTTATCGGAGCGTAGCTCCACTAGCAGCATCTGTGGCCGTGTGGAGAAGCATTCGCGCACATGGCTGTTAGAACGCGCACATCTGTTCTGTCGCGGCTAATTCTGCATGACGTATAGAGGTGTGGGAGCAGCATATGCTGCGATCCATACGAGGACTAATTCATGGAAAGCCTGGGTTATTCCGAGATTACTCCAATCCCTGCCTGCGACTGCTGTCATGGCGTAAAGAGTCCGGGTTGTGCTTGCAGTTACACTGAACACATTTGATCCATTATGTTTAAAAAAAACAGGCACATTTCTCAGCAGAACTCGTGTTTTTTGGTGTATTCATTTGAACTAAAACTGGAGGTTTAATTGCGTTCTCATCATTTAATTCCTCAAACATTTTAAAAACTGAGGAATGTAGATGAAAGAATCTGAAGGATTAAAAAAAGCAAAAGGAGGAAATGTTTCTGTTTTGTGACATTAAAAATGTAATTCTGTAATAAAAGGAGTAGATTTTTCCATGCTTATGCAGCACATTTTACCATTAAATGGCAAATTGCCTCTTTAATAATCCTTACTACTGCAGAATTGATAAAATAATTACCCTGCCTTCAGCCTTTAACCTTCTCCCTCCCTCCTTCAGACACTTGATTTATGTTATATAATTTAATAGATTTCCAGAAATTCAGATTGTAAAACTGTTAAGTTGGGAAAAATGTTTCACTTTGAAGCATTTAAGGTAATTACAGCATTAAAAAAAGCCTTAGATTGATGCTTTACAAATTCAAACCTGATAAAACCTAATTTTATCAGCTTTATTTCTATATTAAAAATCTAATGTGACCCATAAATATTGCTGCCCCTGCTGATGAGTTTAGGATAAAAGTCAGTCTAACAGGCCCACAGCATCACAGATCAAACTTTAAATGAAGAACTTTTCAATGGCCTTGCAGGAAATAATAGAAAACATTCACTTTTATTTGACCAGTCAAAGTAAACTGATATTTACAGATGTGATGAGGTTGATGTTTAATTTTTGTTTGTTTAAATCATTTAGGACCATGATGTCGTTTCCTCACTCTAAAAGTTCAACACACTTTTTGAAGCACACCATGTGAATCCCATTCTGATATTCTGATTAGCTTAAAATGTTAAATGTAAATAACAAAAATGCTTTAGAAGATTTTATTGTATATGGATTGTTTTGTGGTTGTTGTCCTGTGTGTGTCTCAGTGTTGCCCTGTGATGGGGTAAATTCTGCTATTGCAGTAAAATCTGAGTTTACTAGAACAGCTTCTTCTCTCTAAAAATGTGGCATTAAAACTCTATCAAACAACTTTAGGAAGGTTTTGTGATCTTTCCCAAATTATTTAGGGAATAAAGATGACAAAAAGCAACGTGAAACCCTGTAAATTGTTGATAAGGACCTGATGGCTGGACGCAGGCAGGTACCCTGGGTAGTTGACGAGGATGAGTTTGCTGAAGTTGAACTTGTAGGTGAATCTTTTCCCTTTGGTCTTGTGCAGGATGCGTTTGTTGTAGTAGTATCTGCAAGCAAAACGTGTCTCTGTGTCAGACTGAAATGCTGATGTGTGTACTCCAGTCCCTCCAGGGCACTTTAGCTACTTGTTTTCTCACAGACGCAATGTGTTGCATCTAAGAGGCATTTTGGATGCTGCATTTTAATATGTACAACTTGTACCGCCAAGGAGGGTTTTTTATTAATTTATTGAAAGCAGCAGGGCGAGGCGGGATCAGCTCAGACAGGAATGGTATGTCTTTACCTGAGCGCCCGGCTCAGCTTGTCGTAGTTCATGTGTGGTTTGCCCTTCCTCTCCCCCCACAGCCTGGCCAGCCTCTCGGGGTCCCTGATGACAAACTCGCCCCACTCGCCCCCCCAGCCGATGGCTCCGCCCTCACCGCAGCCCAGCAGCTCCAACAGGAAGTGCCACAGCTGCACCTGCCTGGAACCAGGAGACCAGGCTGGTTTGTAGGCCCAGTCAGGAAACAGAACTGCTGTGGAAAGGGGATGAAACATCAAACTATAAAACCAGTAGAAACTTCAACTGGACCCCTCAGTCAGTTCTTTATTTTAGCCAAGACTTTAAAGAATTGTTGATTGAGACCACCATAAAATATTATGAGAAACTCTAACTACTTTGATAAAACAAAGAAAGAGACTACAGTATTCAAATCTTACACAGTACTGTAAAAAATTGGTTTTAACCCTGCACCAAATTTAAGCAGATAAATTGTTTGTTTTCACTTACAAACAATTAGCACTCTAACAGTTACTTAAAATAAAACTGTTTTCCATAAGATGCTTAGACTTGTTGTTGGTTCATTCAGGTTGTGTGAGAGAGCAAGACTTTCTGTTGATAACAGGAAGGCTGAATGAAGTGCAGAAAAGTTGCTCCTTATTATTATTTTGAACCTTTCACCTCTGTCAAGGAAGTTGCTCCATTTTTCATGTTGGCTTTTTCTAATAGTTTCCATTTCGGTCACTCCCAATGAGAATCTTATTTTTAAACTACATTGCAAACTTTCCTTTTCATGCACGCTTTCTCTCCAGGCTCTCCTTTGTTTTACTAAGCATCACAATCTCATCTGCATATCTGATACTCGGTGGAAAGTCCTGCCTGACTTCATCTTTCAAACGATCCAAACACAAGCAACTCGTTTTGACCTTCTTGATCTGAACCCTCCTCCATTTTGAATTTGTCACTCCAGTCTCACTGCACCACCTGCACAGGCTTCTCCACAAAGCTGAAGCCTAATTTAAATAATTTCCCATATAAAAGTGGGAAGCAGTTTATCTCATGATAAAAAGACACAAGTAATTCATTTTGAACTTCTGCAGGAATGCAGCAGAAATCATTTCTATTCAAATGTGTTCTTAGAGAACCTCATGCAGTGTTTCGTTGAACCTGACTAACAGCAGAATTAAGACAAAGACAGTGAGGTTAATAAAAAAGGCTTTCAACGCATTAGTAATCCATCATTTCCACTGCTTTAATGAAAAATTAAAGCGTTTCCAAATTGAAAGTCATTTCATTCCCACACTGTGTAAACTGATCTGGCATAAAGCCGTTTCCAACCAGATAGGAACAAAGATAAGCAGAGTTTGTTCTCTTTTAAATACCTGATCCTTATTACAAAGCTGAAGTAATACCCTTGAGCTCCATTTATCATCATCCCACATCCCTAAATCTGAGTTCAACATATTTTTCCTCACAGACGATTTCTCTTGCTATGCATTATAGGATTTTGGTTAATTTGCTCGGTATAATAAAAAGTCACACTTCTGTGAATTTGGCAGTGGTGGAGAAGGTCCTCAAACAATGTGCTTTATTAAAAGTACAAATACACAGGCAAAAAGGTTCTCTAGTAAAAGTACCACATTAACATTTTTATTTGAGAAAAAGTAAAAAAGTACTGGCTTTTAAAAATACTTCAGAAATAAAAATAAAAGTACTTGCTGAATGGATTATCTAATCACTACTACAATATCATTAAGTGCATTTAATTTTAGTACATTAGTGATGTGACATTTTAATTAACAATGCTTTTATGGTGTTTACTCTCTAACATAGCTTAAACTTGGATATGTGATTCTCTGCGTCATAATTTCAGGGATGGAAACGTCTTGTCTCCTGTTCTTCACTTTTTATGCCATTTATTTTGTGGCATTTATTTTGAAAGAAATCCAACAGAAAGGGGATGGAAAGAAGGTGGACAGTGGAGGACAAGCAACCAAGGAAGAGTAGTGAAGTAGAACGTAAATATACTTACTGTGAAATGTAGTGGAGTAAAAGTAGAAAGTATCCACAATTAAATCTACTTAAGTAAAGTACAGATACATGAAATTTGTACTGAAGTAACCCACCACTCGTATTTGGAAAGCTCTGTGCCTCTCTCCTCAGCTCAAATTACACGGTGGGACCGCTGGGGTGGGAAAGATATTGAACTTGTCTGGGGTCTTCTCGTTATTTTAGGTTTATCTCCTAACAGGTGTTTTAGTTCAGGAGCTTAACTCCTCATTAAAAACCGTGTTACAAATACCTGCTGTACAAGCTGCTTTGGTTCGGCTTGATGAAACAAATCAGGTGTTTTTACCTGTAATAGTTAACCTGCTGTCTCATTAAAAACGAATTAGAACATGGCATCATTTTCTAATCTCTGTACTGTGACCAAGGTTAAAAATAATTGGTCGATTAATAGGAAGCAGTTTTATTGCTCTTGTCGGCATTTTGTATTTACAGAAGCTCTTATAAAACACAGAACAAGGGAAACTACACAGATTTTATATAAATATCTAAACCAAAGACTTTTATAGTTATTTCTATTATTTAGTTTGGTTTTGACCTCTGATGAGCAGTTTATCATTTTGTGTTTATTTTATAGTTAAAAAAAAGAAATGATCTCTACTTCTATTCAATACCATGTCATGCTAAAGAGACGTTTGAAGAGAAGTTTCAGAGCTGAAAAATATTTTTTAAGGGATTTTGATGCAGACACAGAAAAACTGAATGACTGTATCTCATTTATTGTTTTTGAAAGGTCCCTGTACAATATGTGGTTTTCTATCTCTGCTATAGATATTTGTCAACATTTTCAGGCAACTTTGGAAATCTGTTGCAATCCAGTGCAACAGTTCTCTCTTTCGTTTCTGACACGAGTCTCCTGTGTCCTGTTTTCCTTTTCTGTTGTCAGAAGGTGAGAATTTCATCATGTTTATTAGGTAATGTGAATAAAGTTCTGGTCAGAAGTTCTTATATGCTGATTGTGGTTAAAATTATTTATTTGAACTGTTCTTATCCCACCGTGGAATAAATATGCAACATGCAACTTAAAAGAAGAATTTCTTGCACAAGTCTGAATTCATTGGGAATTTTCTACAATAATTCCCAATTATACATGCAGACTCCAATGTATATGTCCCTATGTTTTGTTTTTTTGTGCTTATTGTCTGCAGTGAAGTCACATAAGACACTGTTGCAATGTGTCTAACCCTAAATTTTACGGATTTGAATCAAGCTGCACCAAACTCTCAGGAATTAATCCTGAACTGCCCCCCATCAACATCAGGAATCCACAACAATCTCTGGTGGGCGTGGCCTACGCTCTCTGCAGCGCCACCTAGAATTTTTTTAATTATCAGCCCCAACCAAGCTTTAACCCAGAATTATGAAACAGGGCGCACATGTGTTTTTTGTCATGTCGTGCAAAAGAGTCATGGTCCAAACCCCACCAGGAAGTCAGCCATTTTGGATCAGAGCCATCATTGTGTTTGTTTGTTTTTTATAGATGTTGTATCTCATCAAACACCTACAGCTTTTGAGACACAGACTTCAAAATCAATCAGCATATTATCAAGTCATTAAAGGTCAAAAGTTATCAAAATCCTTTCCATACATCAAAGCATGTGGGCGTTGCCAACCCTCAAAGTCTGACCATTCGCCACCAAACATCAACTTGCAATAGCTTCTACAGACAAAGTCAGAGCCAGATCAGACTTTCTATGTCTCTATGACAGACAGGCCTTCATCACATTCACATGGTCAATATTTGACATCACTTTAGCCCCGCCCACTTCCAACAGTAAATGACCTGTTTTTCTGCTGGAAACATATTCTTTGATCTAAACTCCCCTAGCTGCATGCACTGCAAAAACACAAAGTCTTGCCAAGTATTTTTGGTCTAAATTCAATTGTGAATGTCTTATAGTACACTTAAAATAAAATAACTTTATAACTTTACCAACTGGACATAAGGCTATTTGGATATCAGACTGTCATTATTTTTTGTCAAAATTAGTTTTCACTTTGGCACTTTATTTATTTATTTATTTATTATTTTGTTGTCTAGTCCTTCACATCAAACTGTGTAAAGCATTTGACATCTAATCTTCAAAGAATTACAACAAAATTAAATATTCAATAATTGAAAGTGAAAAAAGGTCAAATTCAGCACTGTATTAAGTGATTTGAATGGATAAAATAACGTCAATCACGTTCAGTGATGTGGTCAGTTTAAGTCACTGTTTATTTCAATATTTATTTAAAAAATAAGTTCTTAAATCCAAACTGCAAAAAGAATAAATGGACTACATAAGAGAAATGTTGGTGCAGGAAAATGAAATTCTGACTCGGTGCAGCTCAGCAGTCATGTGTGTCTTCTACATTTTAAACATTTTCTAAAGCGGTAGCACCAGAACTTTACATTCAAATACATACAATCAATAAAAATATTTGTTAATAATTTGGATCCAGAATGAAACAAGTTTGAAGAAGCATTTCTTCTGGGAAAACATGAACACAAGTTTTCTGCAGAGCTAGCATGCAGAGCTAGCATGCAGATGAAAAGTCTTAAGGTCTTCAGTCAGAAAAATATGTAATTTCAAAACTGAACAGTGTATAGTAATTTAATAAAACAATTTTTTAAAAACTGCATAATTTATGCTATTTTCTAAATCCATTATCAATATCATAGGGAAAAAATACATTTTGTTTGTTTAGTGGTTTGTTTGAACCTTTACAGTAAAACAACAGAACTAGTATTAGAAATGTTTTTTATGCATCAAGAACTTTGATAAAAAAAAAAATATGTATTTGATACCAGTATTAATCTTTACAGCAGGCCATGATGAATGTACAAACATCTCAGGTTGAGGTCTTAAAATATTAAAAAATGATGACCGTTGGCATAAGGCTTAACGTTTTAAAACCTCATACAAAAAAAATGATAAAATTATGATCCTTGAAAAAAAAATTATTGTGTCTTTTATCTAAACATGCACCAACATATATAGAATTTTAAATAAATATTTTAAAAATAAAAAAATGCAATTATTTGACACATAAAGATCAATATGTATACATTTTTAAAACATTTGGGATATTTAAACATATTTTCTAACTTTCAGACAATAAAAATATGTTCCAAGCTTTCGCATTTTTTCTTTAAAGAATGAGAATATGTAATTAGCAATGTATTTACACATTACAGCAGGTTAAGCAGCTGTAGAGGTCTCAGAAATACTGTAAGTCTGTATGAATGTCGATCAAGAGAACCTTAAAATATTAAAAAAAATATATTATTGCAAAATTTTTATTGATTACAATCATTTGCAGGATTTATGCAGAAAGTTGGATTGTAGTGGAAAGACTCTCAAAAGCTTCAGAACAATTTTTGCATAACAATCCAAAAAACATCTACAACTTGTGTCAAAAAAGATAAAGGAACAATGATAGGACAAATAAAACTTGTAACATAAGTGAGATTTTGCACTTTTGACATAACTGCCTTCATGCTGTATTTATTTTTCATAACTTCAGCTGTGAGTTTTATTTGAGCTGGGACTTAAACTTCCCACTGGTGCAGTTTGTCCATGAAGACATCATGTTTATTTTTTCATAATCTCATCTTTTTTTTTTTTAGCGTATTAAAATGCAAGACGGAGACGGGTTCTGCAGAGAGGGAATTCATAATAACTTTTTTTTTTCATATAAAAGTCCTCCTACGCAAATGTCAACCCACAAATATGCAAATAACCGAGATGAAAATCAGCACAAACACATACAATCTTACCTCGGCTCCAGTAAGGTGATGAAAGGTGCCCGCCTGAGGAGTTACAGCTGCACTGCATCTGTCACAAAGACACGCAAACAGATGCAATAATTCAGCATCTTCATCACTGAGTTTTTATTTATTCTCACATATATTCGGTTACCGGTGAGCCTGAGTTTCATTATATGATATTCATTAAATGCATAAAACTTATGAGGAGCATAAGATTATATTTAACTCCTCAAGATGGAGAAGCATAATTCCCCCCCCTGCAGAAACTTTTCTTCTTGTTAGTTTTGTATAATTTCTCCTGGTAAACACACACATCATCCTCTCATAGACACAATGGCCTCCACCCCCCTCTTCTGCGATTTGCAGCCGACGTTCTCCCTGGAAGGCTAAAAGCTCATCTCTACGAGAAAGAAGCACTTCACTTCTTCCCCAGTGAATCATGTCTCTCCTCTTCTATAAGCTCCTTTCCACAAGCTGTAATATCCCCTTATCTTGGAGCAACAACAAAACGATCTCTCCTCCTCAGCTCTTACTTTATTTCCCTTTTTCCTCTCATGTGGGAGGACACTCAGGGGTCACGGGATATTTTACACCTTTGGGCCAACGTTTAAGGCCAGCTTCGAAATGGTCTGCCATCAAAAAGGAAATTATAAACATTTACAAACAATTTTTAACATTATTCCAGCTCATTTACAGCTTAGGAGCATTAAAAGTCACTTTAATTAGGAATGTTATTTTATCTGTAGTCAAAATAAAAATCAGTCAATACAAATTGTGGAGATATTTTATAAAATATTTTGAATAAATACAATACTTTTAAAATAATCATCTTTCTGGTAAAAACAGTAAAGTAAGAAATGAAAATGCCCCATTACCTTTACTGGAGTGGAAAACTCTTCGCCAACTGGGAAACAATGATCACTTTGTCCGCCGGCCCATTCCGAGTCAAGGGAGTTCTGAAGGATGGATGGACTGGATCCTAAACCCTCTGTCTCATCTGACCCCCAGCCACTCACCCCACCCCACCCTCTTGTCTCCTATTGCTCACTTTCCTGCCTCCTTCATGCCAGAATTAGAAAAACTTGGTCAAAAACTAAAATAAACATCTAAAACTGATTCAAATGTTCTTGTTTAGTTTGTAAGAAAAAGTAAACAATATGGCAACCAATGAAGGTTAGATTCAATAAAATCTAACCTTTATTGCACCAACAGTCATACAGGCATAATTTAAAAACCTGATCCCACCTATAATGGCGAATTAATATGAAAAGAAAAATGTGTTTTCATGCAATAAGGCAACCAAGAAGAAAAAAAATGATAAAAGGGTTAAATTTTATTACAATAAAACAGCTAAAATACAGTTTAAACCAAGGTATAAAACATATTTTATCCTGTGGGACATATTTTGTGTTAATACCTACAATATAACGAGATTACAGCTGGATTAATTAATGTCAGACCAACAAATTGAACTGTTGTTGTGTTTGAGCAACACAGAAAAGGAACATCTCTTATTTATCAGGGTTCGACAATTTACATCCTATTTTTCTTATGCAAAATAATCAAATTCTGCTATTAAAAGCATTAAAAACAAAGGTCCTGTTCAATATAGAGAAATAAATTATGTTCGGTCACCATTTAAAATACTGAATGAACAGCAGGAAGTGACGTTTGTCATAAGAATTTTATTTGGACAAGAAAAATGTGTATTGTTATACTGGGACTTCTGCCTTCAAAGAGAGAGGGAAAAAAAATCTGATGAACTGTAAGTTAACAAATCTTTAGGGCAGCATCTGCTGTAAGCAACAGTTATTTCTCAGAGAGGAGAAACAGGGTTAGCAGTATAACAAGCGTAGATGACCATCATTACAAGCGAGAGAGCAAAAGGTTCCAAGCAGAAGTGAAGTACGAACTGGAGGGAAATAAATCGGGAGGAAATAGGAGAAAGCACTTTCCCTCCTCCACTTCGAGTCAGGGGGAGCAACGCGGCGCTGAGCGAAGGTGACTGGTGGTTTTCTCTTTGCTAAATCAAATAGGTGATGAACTCAGCGCCGGGGCCATTTGTCACCCCTCTGCTGCTGCTCTTTTGCTCAACGACAGTGACTTTGACCAAGGTTGTCAGGCTGCTCAGCGCTCTGCCGCACTGGCGTCTGACACGCTGAGTTCAGGATCAGATTCACGTAGTGACACCCTTTAAAGGGATTTTCTGTTTGGTTTAATTAAAAAAATCTACACAACTTTTAAAGTACCTAAAGTAAGTTCATGATTCTCACTTAATGAGACGATTCATATTTTAAAAAATTGATTTATTGAAGCTTTTTTGAAAGCAACAAGGCATTTCAAAGGGCTTTACTTCATAAAAACAAAAAACATAGAAAACAATCAACATTTAAAACAAAACAGTGCCGTCTTGACACATACGTTTGCTGATTCATTTTTCACTGATTATGTTTCAAAAGCAACTCTAATCAGGTGGGTTTTTATTCTGGCACTGAGTGTTTTGGCTGTTAGGAAGTTTTCTGTTTATTCCAGACTTGGAAGCTGAATCCTTCTCCTCGTTCATGAGTGGTTCAATAAATCACAATATACCACATTACGAACAAAAGTTTATTTTATTGGAATGTATTTGTTAAAAAATATTAATCAGAAGGATTCATCATTTGCCACATTTTCATTATGTTTAGTTTTTTTTAAATCTCAAAGATGTATGAATTTGTCTGTGAACATCAGTGTCCAATTCTTTTCACAAACTCTCAAATATATGCAAGTCTGGACTTTGACTTTCCTTTTTAAGCAAATGGACAAAATGGAGGCCAACCTATAGTAGAAGGAGGAGAATATCTGGGGTTCAACATCTCTTACTCATTAAGTTCTCAAAAGTTGGATGTAAGTGTTTGTATTCAACTGCTCCAGTACAACTGAAAGGCTTCAAAATGGCCTAATTATCAATAAGCTGAGTTTAGCTGAGTTGAATTTATCTTCAGCTGTTCCATAAGGGCCTCTGACATTTGTTAGACATTATTGAATAAACAGCATGCATCCTTTATTATGCTCTACTTTGTATTGTTCTTTCACACAAATATCAACATAACATACTGAACTTTGCAGGTGTAATGATGCGAAATGTGAACAGTGTTGAGATTTATTCAATTTTGCTGATGAAGCTTGATGTGATAGGTAAGTATTTTCAAATCTTACATCCAAAAATATGAAAATAGAGAAGAAGGACTTGTAACTAATCCACCTAAATCAAAGTTGTAAGTAGGTGCAGTGAAAGCAGCGTTGTACATTCGTCTTGTACCTATTAGCCCAAAGAACGTGTTGTGCTGCTGAGAGACTAACTGTGAATTTGTTTTCCCTGCAGCAGAAAAAAAAATCTTCTATCCTCTTAAGGCTTCTTATGATGCAGATGCAGCTCTATACATTCACTTCTCCAGGGCAGTTTCACACACGCACACTTACCCTTACAGCTCCTCAGATGTGATAGCTGACACCAGAGGCTTTTAATTCCAGTGTAAATACAAATACACTCCCAGACAGCTATCAATTATGCATGCCACTAATTGAGTTGAATGTCGTGCTTTTAGCTGCCAGGGGACCCTGGGTCACATGTAAAAACTCTGGGACTGAAATCACACGCAAACACACACACTCAAAAGGTAACTGTTCTCATATGTTTGAGGAACTTTACTGATATCCCATCTTCAAAATAAAAAGTAGAAAAGAAACTGAGTAGACTCTACTTAATGAGGAAATTTAAGTCCTTAAGTGTTTGTTTCAAGATGATACACAGCTTCTATATAAAAGATATTGAGATAGCGTATCTTTTACAGACACAGAGTAGCGAAGACAAAGATGCACAAAAACACAATGCATGAAGCACATTGCAACCACAGCCACGGAAACATCAACATGTTTAAATGAAAGAGTCTGGCTGCTTCTTTAAAGAGTCAACAGAAGTTAAGCAGTGCAGCGTGTTCCTCCCTGAAAGGCTCGATCCCCTCTGCTCCTCGGGGTGCAGGCAGGGAAGTGAGGCAGGTCGGAGATTTAAGAGGGGGCTTGACTGTGAAGAGCTCTCAAAGTAAGAGCCAGAGTTTTAAAATGAACTCTAAAAATAACCTGGTATCCAGTGAAGTGATGCTCAAAACTGGTGTAATGTGATTTCTCTTGCATGTTTTGGTTTAAACCATGTTAGGGCGACTGTGACTATATGGTAGAGTAGCTGTCTTGCGATTGGAAGGTTGTAGGTTCAATTCCAGCTTCCTCCTGCCACATGTCGATGTGCCTCTGGGCAAGGCACTTAACCCCAAAATGCCCACATATTTGCATATCGGTGTATGAATGTGTTGTGAGTGCGAATGGGTGAATGTGACTCTAGTGTAAAGCGCTTTGAGTGGTCAAAAAGACTGGAAAAGTGCTACATTAGTTCAGTCCATTCATCATTTAATGCAGCAGCATTCTGAAAATTACAAAAAATCTGAAATCTTCCTTTTACTGAAACAAGAAAAGACACCATCACAGGTGTGTAATATGTATATATCAAATAAAGAGGTTTATTTGGTATAAACATTTATAAATATCAACTTTTTTCTCACTGTCTGAAGTTCAATTAGACCAAACTTTCTCTTGTTGTAGGTTAGTTATAATTACCAATATTATTTACATATGCTATGTGTAACAAGAGCATATATTAGAGATTTTTTTTGTGTAACTTCTTTCAAAGTTTACATACATTTGGTCAACATCAGAGGTAATTGTGTTTCAAACTATATGCTGTAACTCCAATGCTGCCAAAACTTATTTTCCATACATGCATACATGTACAGCAAACAAGGATTCAACTAAATTCAGGGATATTTCTCACCTCTACATCTTCACTAATGAACCCAAAACTTCAGAGATTCTGAAATGTCATGACCTACTTCTGTTTCTCAGCAACCAGACGTTTTGAACAGACAGGAAAGTGAACAACTCAAAACTACAAATTGTCATTTTAATATTCCCAAACCTGGGTTTCTGGGTTAATTGCTAACCTTTATATATGGGGGCAGGATTTTTCTTTAAATTTATTTAAGCCACATTAAAAATGAATATCACTTGGACCACAAACATTTGATCTCTGTTTTCATGTATAATAATGTCTGGAGACATCAAACTGGTCCTCGACCTCTGAACTCCATCACATCTGCTGCAAAGTAAAAACAAACATGTGGCGGTTGTTCATTCTGAGGTTGAGATTTCAGCTTCACAATAGGTACAAGGCATATCCAAGGTTCAAAAGTAATTGCAAAAATTCACATAAACTATAATTTGTAACTCATGGAGCGATTCAACTGTTAGGTTCTGTTCCTACAAGCACCAGTTGTGGTGAACTAGTCTTATAAGTTTACATACTATGTTCTCCCTCCGTACCAGTCGGCACAAATCCCTAAAACAAGGAGTGATGCCGGCTTCTTGCCTTTTAAATTTTGCATTTATTCAGTCAGTGGAGACACCCGGATATTTATAACTGCCAACACTCTGCACTGAGGCCCTCTTCAAATTAAATTAAGTTAGAGACCTCTGCCAATGCATCGCTCTAATATCCAAAAATACTTCAGAGTCCTAAAACACATATACCTGTCTAATTTAATAATTCAAACACCAACATATGCATTAATACGTACTAGCATGGGGCTAAGTAAGATTAGAGGCATTGATTAGAAATAATCTATGGAAATATCTGCAAACAGACAGGTTGTTCCATACAAAAATATGGAATTGTGTTCAACAGAAACATTTGCAAATAGATGAGTAGGCCACATAAGCCATCAAGTTTATTGGTGGTCAGCCTCGTACTGGACCTCCTCTATGTAGGCCGTCTCCTTCTGATGAAGATAAAATCCAGAATTATTGTGTTGTCTGCAAATTCAACAATATTTTGCCACTCTCTTGGGTGTAGGAA